CACATTGGCAACAATAATTTCCCAGGGAGAAACCAGCCAAGGCAAAATATCTACCAAATATCGGATATCCAAGATCTGAAATACCCAAACTAGCTCATAATATTCTCAGCAACTTTAGATATAGAGATTAGGGGTTCCCTCAAAATTCTACAAGACTTTCCTGCAAGTTAAAGTACTCAATTTCTATAGTGCTGGGGAGTCTCACATCTTAAATGAGGATAAAAACTACAGATCCACTATCAGTTTGAGATCACTGAGACTAGAGAATAAGATAATTCAGAAAGACCCAGATTTTAGAAAAATAGGACAAGACTGAGATCTGGACTTAACTCATTTCAGATATTATGAAGCCATTAGTTCTGACATTCTGAGTTACAAACATGTAATGAGTGCTAACAGTGTAAAGTAAGAAACAGATATAAAAAGTAATAAGACAGCCCTGGTTGGTGTGGCTCAGTGGATTGAGCGCAGGCCTGTGAACCAAAAAGTGGCTGGTTTGATTCCCAGTCAGGGCAGATGCCTGGGTTGGAAGCCAGGTCCCAAGTTGGGACGAGTGAGCGGCAACCACATACTGATGTTTCTCTCCCTCTCTTTCTCCCTCCCCCTCTCTAAAGTAAATACATAAAAGCTTTTATTTATTTATTTATTTATTTATTTATTTATTTATTTATTTATTTATTTATCTTTAGAGGGGAAGGAGAGAGGGAGAGAAACATCAATATATGGTTGCTTCTCGTGTGTCCCCTGCTGGGAACTGGCCTGCAGGAAACTGGCTTGCAACCCAGGCATGTGACCTGACTGGGAATTGAACCACGATCCTCTGGTTCGGAGGCCTGCACTCAATCCACTGAGCTACACCAGCCAGGGCAATACATAAAATCTTTTAAAAAATAAAAAGTAGTAAGACAAATATAAACCTGCCTTTCAGTCCAGGAGGAGACAGACAAACAATTATAGCAGTCTAAGAAACATGAGAATGAATGAACAAGACATACAGAGTGAATAACCTAGTGGAGTGGGAAGAGGGAGGACCAGAGGACACAGAAGACTTAAAAAGCTGGTAGTGCTTAAGTCATATCTGATAAAATCAGTAGCCCTTGTCAGCAAGGCAGGAGAGGGGAAAACATTCTAAGCAGCATGGAGGGAAACATGAAAAGACTCCAAATCAGGAAACAGTATGGCTCTTTCAGTAAACTGATTTTATTAGTACAGTTAGAGCGCAAGGTTTATGAGGGGGTGAGGGGCTGGGGGGGGGGGGAATGGCAAGAGATGAGTCAGATGATGAAGGGCCCTGTAATGATAAATAGTTTGGACTAAATACTGTAGGTAAGTAAGAAGTATAGGTTTTAAGAAAGAGGCACTGGACAGATTTGCATTTTAGCAAAATCAGCTTGGCAGTAGTGTAAAGGATGGATCAAAGGGGGTCAACCGCTAGAGACCTCATTCTGCAACCAGACTTATATAAGGACATTATCATATAGATATTCTACTAAAGAACCAGGCATCAGAAATAAAAACAACAATGCTTTAACAGATAAAGCTAAATTATCAAAAGGAAATCACTTACCCTTATGAACATATATTTTGGAATTAAGTACTTCCTACATATCTTAAAAATGAAGAGGCTTCCAAAATTAGGTATGATATATAAAAATTACATGGAACTAGTTGTATCCTGAGAACTAGCTACTCTTATGGCATCTGTCTCTTTTTGTACATATAATACTGCAGATCTACAACATAAAAACCAGTGTAACAGAATCCTTGGAGTTGGAATTTATATTAATTAATTACAGAGGCTTCTTTTGCTTTAATTTTATATATGCAGAAACTGAGGCCCTGAGAGACTAAGGAATTACTTATGGTCATATGGCTAGTTGCACAGTGAAGAATGGAATTTACGTCTTATGATTTCCTTTCTAGAAACTGCCTTAGTATATCATATTTATAATTCTAGAATGTTGAATGATAATCCAAAAGACACTCTGGTATTGTAATTTTCAGTAGTGTAATAATGAACAATAAAACTATTTTTATGTTTCACATGCCTCACAAGAAAAACATATTAGATCTGCATATGTTTCACAAAAAGAACTCTCCCTGATGTCTGTGCTACAATAACAACACCTTCCTCTCTGCCATAAAACCACACCCTATTCTTCTGGAGGGAATCTAAAAACTTCCTTTGTCAAACTAAGGACACAATTAAATTCGAAAGAAGAAAGGTCTAAGATTAATTTATCTTTATGTAATTAAATTTCCAATGCTTTGAACATGTTTTAACATTTTACTTAGGTCCCAGTCTTTTTCTTCTTTTTGTCATGCTCCCCACCCCACTGCTATAACTCTGGGATCCTGAAATACGTGTGTTTCCTCCACTAACTAGTACACACAAGTAGAAGTGGCAACACACACAAAGCCTAATAAATACTGTACTTTTCACAAATTTGCACAGTGACCAACATGTTTTAAATTTTTGACTTCTCCAATTTACACTTAAGTAATGTCTGTTCATTGAAATAGATTTAAATAATATAAAAACATAAAATTAATAGCTGTCTTGTGCCTTTGCAATTTTCTCTTGAAAAAAACCCAACACTGATAAATTTGATGTGTGTCCTTTCAGATTTTCTATGCTTACGTAACAAAAGGCGCTAATCCTCTGAGATGATACATATTTAACACCCAAACTCTACTTCTCATAATTTAATATTTCTTTAATAATTCAGAAGGTAAACCATTATCTTGCTTGGTTTCTAGTTACCACAATAGGCATCAATTGTATTATCATTCAGGAGTGTGAGCTAAACCTCAAGCATGCTGTTTATTTCTTCCTTATTGACATCTCGATTATTTTATGTATGTATTTATTTGTTGTCTTTCCCTCTCTCCACGTAGGTTACATGAGAGCCAGAATCATTGTACCTTCAGTGCTTGACACCTAGGAGATAATCAAATACTTATTGACTGATAAGTATGTTTACTTGGAAATTAGAAAAGCTGTTTTTTTAAAAAGTTATTGAAATCTGCTTAATATCTCATTTGTCTTTCAAAAGTGAGGGGGGTGAAAGTCTGCTTAAATTTTTTTTTTTTTTGGCCGTAGTTCCATACAAGTATCTGCTCAGCTGATCAGTTTTAATAGTTATAAAAGTCAATCAGGGATTTTGGTTTGAATTATAACAAAAAACCAATCTGATCTCTGCAAAAAGTTAAATATTGCTGTGTAGGATTCCACTGTTTTTTTAAATGATTGCAAGATTCAAGGATTAAGTACATTATCCTTAGCATTTCTGGACCCAAGACAAAAAGAAAAAGACTAAGGAAGGCAAAATTCTTTGCCTTGAAATACTCGAATTTGTCTATTTACCTAAAATTACAGAATTACTATTTGTACAGGATCCACTGCCTGCCACATTAGACTTCATTTACAGGCCTCTATCATAAAAAGCCAGGCAAATGCACAAACTTTCTGGTCTACAGATTTTAACTAAACCTTATACACATATATCCAGATCATTTTACTTTAATTCCACCTTAATCTGGGCTAGTTACCAAGAACTCTGCATAAGTTTCACCAGGAGCTGTATCTTTATGATCAAGCAGGTGAGAGAGGTTCTCTACAAGAGCTGTTAGTCTCAAAAGATGCTGTTGCAGAATTCTAGCTTAGGGACTTCAAATTCCAGTATGTTACTTGGAGGCTAAACTTGAAGTTATGCCTCCCCACAAATGCTTTTCAAAGAAGAGAATCCAGAACACACCTCCCAGCACAACCTGCCTCTGTCTAGTATTCAGGCAAGACTTCAGTACAGATCTAATAATGCAGTATCAGCAAAGCAGACCACCTAAGGAAAGGAAGCCCAAACCACCAAAAGAACACGTTCTTCGTTCTTCCCCATCCTTGGCGGCTTCCACACCCAACCTGAGGACACTCGCCTCCTAAAGAACCTACAGTCTACACTCCCACCTACAGTGCTGCCGCTCATGTTCCCTGAGCAGCGAGACCAGCTCGCCCCACAGGGATCCTGGGACAGAGAAAAGAAAACTACAAAAACAAACCCACTATTTCTCCAACTAGGCAACAAAACCGATCAACCCTTCAACTAAGCATTGAGTACATTCTCATCTGGAAAGAAAGACCTGTTCCAGGATGCCACAGACTGTCCACTGGGCCGACTCAGGATGTGACTTAAAGCCCCCTCTCGCTGAGAGCCACCCCAGTGCCTGATGAGCCGCACCCTCCATTCGAGATCACCCGGGGACCCGCCTAACTCGCCCTTTTGCCCCCGAAAAGACTCGAGACCAAGCCAAGGTACTGCCCCCCTCTGGGCAAAGCAAAAACCCCGGTAAAGACGTTGATCTTTGAGGTACACCCTTCCGCCCCCAGCAGCACGCCAAGGCGGCCGGATCCCTGCAGGTCGCAGAGACATCGCACTCTAGCTCGGAGACCCAGATACACAGACCCCTTTCCCCGGAACCCTAATAAACTGCTTCTTCCTCCCCGGAATGCGAAACGCTCAAAGATCCCTCCCGACCCCAATGATCTGCTCTTCCAGAGACGCAGCACCTTGCTACACTGAATCTTAAGCCCCCAAAGAGCCTAAGACCCCGATAAAGGAACCCCTTGTCCCAGAACCCTGCTACAACACCCCAAGGAACCTCAGAAACCCAATAAATCTCCCTCGATCCCAAAGAACCGGCACTCTCTCTGCCACCACCCACCTCCACCCCAAGCCAGAAGAGCCCTAGGACCAGCAACGAACTGCCCCCTCACCCCGAGGAGCCCTGGCACCCTCTACACCCGCCCTTGGGTGCCTGCACCGGATCCCACTTCACCGCCTCCTCACCCTCCGCACTGCCGAACCCAGCCAAAGCCTTTCGCCCACCAGGCAGTGCCACGCTGCCCCGGGAGCCGCCCCCGGAGCCGCCCCCGTCGGGAGCCCGCTGCCCCGGCTGCTCCGAGTGCCCACTCTTTTGCAGAGACGCGCTCTGGGCTGTCTTACCTGGGCAGCGTCGGAGGGCCAGCGGACAAGGAAGCCCTGAGGAAGAGGAGGTGACAGAGAAGCGGGGGCTCAGGCCTGCGGCTGCCGCAGCTCCCACCTCTCCGCGAGGAAGCGCTTCTGTGAGGAGAGCCCTCCCGCTCCCAGAGCCAGCAAGAACCCCAGCCACAGCCTTGCCCGCAGCTCTTCCCGCGAGATCCTTGCCACGGCTAGAGGCGGGGCCACGACGGGGGCGGTAGCGGCGGCTCGAGTGACAGCGCCCAGAGCCTGTCCGCGGCGGCGTAGGAGGCGTGACTCAAGCCCAATTAGGACCAATTGTAAATTAGGAAAGTGATTCGCCCCGCCCACCACTTCCTTCCCTTCTCCGCCCCTCATCAATGATGTAGGGGCAAAGGTAATACCGAACTTAAATAGAGGCGGTGGACGTTCAGGAGGGAAAGTAACTTCGATAGCGAGTTTGGCTTGTATCTGGACCTGCACAGCCTTCGCTGATACACCTGGTTTAGGCAAGTAGCTGGTCTTCACACCCGTATAGGCAGAAGCTCTGTTACCCTTGGTTACAGCTTTGCCTGAAGTGCGGACTAGGTTCGCACGTCTTACCGTGTCTAAACCACTGTTCCCCCATCTCGGGCTCTCCTCTCTCTCCACCTCAAATATGGTGCCGTTGTTCAGATGCCCATGTTTTCTAAACCCCAATTCAGGACATCTGGTCTGACAGTACTCTTTTCTGATTCGTGCATTTATTTCTACTTAAAGCCATCTAGAAAAGTAAAAAGTAAATCTTACTTGAGTCACCAATACAAGAGATGACAGGAAAAGTCGTGTCTCTGTAGACCCCAGTGTCTGGCACACACCGGACACTGAGTAAATGTGAAAGGAATGAATGAAGAACGTGATATTTAAATATATGAAATCTGATTCACCCCCTAAAATTCTGGCTCTTCTAGCTTGTCCTCTACACGGAGAGTCATGCCCTTAAATCCAATCTCTTCATTGTTATGCCTATCCTGTAGCCTTCTTTCACTGTCCCCTCCTCATTGTCTTACCCACAGAAGCAAGAAGTGCCTTCCTTTTCATCAAGGTTAACCCCAACACCTGTGCACTGGATCTCAGCCGTTCCCAAATTTTGTCTAATCAACTATCTTTTCTTTCCTCATCAGTATCCCCCTTCTAATCTAGCACTTTTCTTCCACAGACACACTCAATCGCCTCCATCTTTTCAACAGAACAAAACCACCTCTCAAGCTACTCTATCTCCTTTCCTTTCTTCTCAGAATCATACTTTTTTTTAACTTTTTAAATTGATTATGCCATTACATTTGTTCTATTTCCCTTCCTCCATTCCCCTCCACCCTGCACACCCCTCCCCCACCATTCTCTCCCCTTTAGTTTATGAACACGTGTCTCAAGTTCTTTAGATTCTATATTTCCTCTACTATTCTTACCCTCCCCCTATCTATTTTCTATCTACTGTCTATGCTGCTTATTTTCTGTACCTTTTCCCCCCTCTCCTTCTCCCACTCGCCTGTTGCTAACCCTCCATGTGATCTTCATTTCTTTGGTTCACTCCTGATCTAGCTGTCCTCTTAATTTGCTTTTATTTTAGGTGTGGTTGTTAATAACTGTGAGTTTGCTGTCCTTTCACTGTTCAACTTTTTTATCTTCTTTTTCTTAGGTAAGTCCCTTTAACATTTCATGTAGTAAGGGCTTGGTGATGATGAACTCCTTGAATTTGATCTTATCTGAGAAGCACTTTATCTGTCCTTCTATTCTAAATGAAAACTTTGCTGGATAGAGCAATCTTGGTTGTAGGTCTTTGGTTTTCATGACTTGGAATACTTCTTTCCAGCTCCTTCTTGCCTGTAAGGTCTCTTTTGAGAAATCCGCTGATAGGCTGATGGGAACTCCTTTGTAGGTGACTGTCCCCTTATCTCTTGCTGCTTCTAGGATTCTCTCCTTCATTTTAATCTTGGCTAATGTAATGATGATGTGCCTTGGTGTGTTCCTTCTTGGGTCCAACTTCTTTGTGACTCTCTGAGCTTCCTGGATTTCCTGGAAGTCTTCCTTTGCCAGATTGGGGAAATTCTCCTTCATTATTTGTTCAAATAAGTGTTCTACTCCTGGGTGTTCCTCTTCCCCTTCTGGTACCCCTTCTGGTAATTCGGATATTGGAATGTTTAAAGATACCTGGAGGTTCCTAAGCCTCTCCTCATTTTTTTGAATTCTTATTTCTTCATCCTTTTCTGTTTAGTCATTTTTTTTCCTCTTTCTGGTCCACTCCTTTGATTTGAGTCCCAGTTTCTTTTCCATTACTATTGGTTTCCTGTGCATTTCCATTCATTTCAATTAGTTTAGCCTTCATATGTTCCTCTAATTAGTGAGTAAAATCAACCAGTTCTGTGAGCATCCTGATCACCAGTGTTTTGAACTGTGCATCTGAAAGTTTTGCTATTTCTTCATTGCTTAGATTTATCAGCTCTGGGCCTCTGAGTTGTTCTTGAGCCATGTTTTTATCTGTTCATGCCTGTTATGTACCAGGGGAGGCGGCTTGGTGTTTACCAGAGCAGGGCCACCCAGGTCGCAGGTTTGTGACGCTGTATGTGGGGGTGGGATCAGAGAGGGAGCAATGGCGAGCCTCTCTGCTCACCCAGTCCACCTCACCGCTTGCTCCCACATGCTTATCCGAGTACAAATGTACAAGTCTGCCGCCCTGCGCCAGTCGCTGAGGCCTGTGAGATCTCAACGCTCGCCTCTTCACTGGTTTATCTGCCTGCAAATGCACGACCGACTGCAGACAGCCAGCAGCGCCTCTTCCCTGGGTTCCGCCCATAGCTAGCCCGCACCTAGAATTTGCACCCCTGGCTACCTGTGCACTGCCCGGATCTTTTTTGCCCAACTGGCTCCGCTGGTGGTTTCACCCCTCTCACCAGTTTAGCTGAGTGGTGCGTTGTTTCTGGACTCTGTATTCGATTTTCTGTGTGGTTTGGTTATGTTTATTATTGTTAAAACTTTGTTGTTTTTAGATTTGGTTGTGCAAGGACGAAAACTGTTCCCACTTACGCCTCCATCTTGGTGGAAGTCAGAATCATACTTTTTGAGGAACATTAAAGTATATTTGCTATCTATACTTACTCACTTCTGTTTTTCCCCATTACAATGTTGCCTTTGCCCACACAACCTGCTGTTCTCTCAATAATCACAAAAGACCTCTTTCCTAGTGGACAAATGTCCTATTTGGGAACATCTTTCCCAATTACCTCTCTGCAGCCTTTAGACAATGCTGACCATCACCTCCTTTGGTACCTGACTAACCATATTCTACTGATTCTCTAGCTGTTCTTCTTCCTGGTTTGAAAACTGTTGCATGTTGATGTTCCCTTATCTTATAGCCACACACTGTGCATAGTAAGAAAAATGACTTCACACCATTGTACACTTTGAGTGCCAATAAGTGGCTCAAACAAAAGCTATTAGAAGAATCCAGAGGGAGGAGACAAGACTATGAGGATGGGTCTTAAAACAGTAGCTTGGTCTACCCAAATGCAGGACAGAAATGGAGGCCTTTCAGAGAAAAATAGTGTGAACCTGAACACAGAGAAAATGACGTGGGCAGAGCCTGGTGATGGGTAAACCAGTTTGGTGCATGGGAGTTTCCTGCAGAAGAGCAGTGGGAGGAAATATTAGGGAGGAGCCAATAATAAAAGACCTTAAAAAACCAAGCCAGATAATTCAACTTGCTTCTTTATTAAATGAGGAATCAGAACCAACCATAATGTTTGCAGAACCCACAAAAATGCAACATGTGGAGGCCCACATGTCAAACGTCTAATATGTAAAAGCTATAAAATAAGCCAACAATATATGAAATTAAAAAATTGGAAGACCAGGTTTGCACTTAGAATTTGGGGACTTCTCAGTGTTCCCTGCTGGAACAGGGAGAGCTGGTCCCCACAAAGAGCAGTCTTGCCCCCTTTGCTTCCCACAGCCAGTTCAGCCCACACTGCAACGTACTCCACATTCCCTGGGCACACCAACCCACATGTCCAAACTTTGTTCCCATGTTTCCCTCTATAAAGCTGTCATTTCTTGGCTGTTCCACAGGTGCAGGAGTAATATTTCAGGATCTAGGGGAGAAGCCCATATGGGCCCTGGATGCAGGCTCAGGGCCATTTGAGCAAAATATTCTGGCTTCTGGGTATGTGGAGGAAGGTCTAAAGGTGTCAAGTCAGCTCTGGACAGGCACATTATTTTCCATTTGATGGTCTTTCATTTAGTAGGTAGGAGTGAAGCTGGAGAGGGGCCAGGGCAGAGCCCCTTAAAGGCAGGCCTCTGCCACCTGCATCTATAGGTAGTACCAGGAGAACCACTGAATTTCTTGGGTAGGGCAATGACTCACATGATTGATCTGTATCTTGAAGTATAAATAAATATCTGTGTTTTCTATGTTTCCCCCCTCCTCTGCTCTTGCACTGGTATCTTAATGGCAGTAATGTACTGGAAAGAAAACTTATTCTTCATTCTACTTCGCCTTTATATGGTACCTTCTTTTGCCTGAGTTCATAAATTATACCATTCTATGATTCCTTATTAGTGTATCAGAAACCCAGGTGTCTCTAAATGTGGGGGAAAAAGAAAAGCTATGAAATGCTCAGCCTTATCCTGGCTGGTGTAGCTCAGTGGATTGAGCATGGACCTGACAACCAAAGGATCACAGTTCAATTCCCAATCGGTACACATGCCTGGGTTGCAGGCCAGCTTTCAACAGGCGATGCCAGAGAGACAACCATACATTGATATTTCTCTCCCTCTCTCCTTCCCTTACCTTCTAAGAAAGATAAATAAATAAAATCTTTTAAAATAAATAAATAAATAAAGTGCCCAGCCTGGACTAAAGCTTGGAACACTTACATTTGACTTCTAAATTAAAATGCTTTGGAAGTAGAAGCTCTTGAAGAGGCCCTACGTGAAGGGTACACAGGCAGGATAAGTACTAAAAAGGCAGTACGCTACCACAGACAGGGGCAACCCCTCTCACCATCTGTCTTTATGGCACGATGCTTCATTCTGTGGTCTGACAGTCACGCTCTGTTCTTGCAACCTCTCCATCTGGTACCAAGTGCTCCTTTCCTCACATCCCACAATAAAAGCCAGAACCATCATGGTTTCTGTTTTTGAGATCCAAGCCTAGAACTCCTCCCA